CTTGCAGTTTTTGTTATGTGTTAAGAACAAACTAATAAACAACCAAAAAAAAAAAAATCTTGATTTGCTTGTATGGTTTAATTTTTATGCGTGATGAAAGTCAAAGTTGTGAAACATTCACTCATTTTTGCTCGGTACTGTATATACAAACAATCATATCATACAACTAAATATCATAGAAACAACTGCGAGAGATAGCTAGGAGTTGAACTTAATAATACACAGTCGACACATTCTACAGTTATCGATAACAAGTTGAAATTTAAAGGAAAAATGCACTGACAGAGTAATTTTTAATTGACTTTACCGCTTACACATGGCACATTACAAAATAAGCGGAACAAAAATCACATTCGATCAAGATTTATAAAATCGATAGATCGACAACAGAGTCAAACGAGATTACGCATTTTCTGTATAATTAAGATCAGGGATTTAAGACACCATAGTATTTCCATATATAATTTATCGATAAATTAGCACATTGTCATAAAACTAATTATCGATAAATCGATAGCCTACTTCAAAGTTACTTTCACTATGCTTTTGATCAAACATCAAACGAACATAGTATTGATATACATGTTTATCGATAAATCAACAACCGATCACAATTTACATATTCGATCAATCAATAACTTGTTCAAAACAACAATTGCATTTACTTTCCAAATAATTTCGAGCATAAATCCAGTAAAAATAGCAAAGCGATATATTTTCTGTCAATATATTAGCAAAATATCACGATTTACATAATCGATAAATCGATAACATGCAATTTAGCATTATTTTGATACAACAATGTCATGTTTCCTCATTGTTATCGATAAATACTCAAACATTACGTTAATCATTATTGCTGTTTATCGTTAAAAGGCGATACCTATCGAATATATGTATAGATATATTCAATAGGCATTCGCTTCGTGTACATAAGCAAACCCCAAAAAGTTCCTAAACTGGGAACGACGGGTAAAATAACAAAATGAATTAAATCGAGTCACAAGTCAAGTAAATTTTTTGGTAAACATTGTCAAATGTGTATATAAATAGAAGTCAATGCGGTCAAGAAGTTCAGGACGTCAAGAGGTTACGAGGTTAAGCATAACACAAGCTGTAATATACTAATATACATATATATACATATACTATATAAATATACTATATAATTAACTAAACTTACTTAGCATCGATATAAAATAATTATAAAACCAAAAACAAAAAAAGTACACTGAGAGAAACCAAACAAAAGTAAATAACCTTTGAACAAGCAATTAAGGACAAATCAACAGAGAAACCGAACAAAAAGTATGAATTGTTGAAACACTTTGCGTATACACAACATTTGACAATATATATATATATACATATATATACGACTCACACACATACACTGCAAGAAAATTTGAATTTGAAACTTTGTGTTGAAGTACAACATATCCCCGAATATAAAGCACCAACCGAGAAAATATAGAACTTGTACATGAAACAGACACAAAAGCGACTACAACCAATATATATATATATATATATATATATCATATATATATGTCTATCTCTTTCTGTAAACATAAACATAAAGAAAGCAAAAGCTCTTTGCCTTTACAAGTATCAAACAAAAAACAATTTCTTATTATTAATATTATTATTAATAAATAAATTAGTTTAGATAGTTGAAACAAAAGGTAAAATAAACTAAATATATATAAATAACAAATAATACAAATATAAATAATAATACAAACTAACAGTACATTGTCTATATACATATACATATATATATATATTAACTTAACTTTAGCAAAATAAAAATAAATTACAAAATAATAAAAAAAAAAAAAAAAAACTTTAATCATATTATCCCCGCCGTCGTGTACCCAAAATTACAAAAATCGTACAATTAATACAAACAAAATAAAATAATAAATTATAAATAATAATAATAAACTATAAATAAACAAACAGCTTCAGATTTTTCTATACAAAAAAGGTAAATTAATGTTAAATAAGATATGGAAACAAGAGAAACTAGAAATTCGAAAATATGTAATTAGGCAAATTTGTAAAACTCAAACATATTATATAGACAACACACTCGAACACAGTTAATGAAAATAAAAACAGCTTTAATTTAATTTAATTTCTTATTTTTTTTTTAGAATTACAAATATCTGGAAAATTCAAACTTTGTGTGCTCTAATTTGGCTTTTCTTTCTGACAACTGGTCACCCCACAAAATTACATAGCAATAAAAATCAAATAAAACAAAGTTAAAAACAAATTGAGCTTTACATTCTATAAATTTTTTGCCTTTTATATTTTTTCCTGCAAATGGTCACCCTAAAAATCAGTCACAAAACGCAATAGCGAAGCGTATAACAAAAGTATAGAACAAATAATAATAAAAACAAAAACCTAGCGCAAATTATATAAATATTTATACAAATCTATATATATACGAATGATGAGATGTAAAACCAATAGCAGAGTACAGTGGGTCAAGAATGTCAAGTATGCGGTAAAAAAATAAATAGAACACGAAACAACAGCAACAACAACAACAGCAGGCAACAGTTAACTTGCTTAAAGTCAACAAAACAAAACGAGAGAATCATAAAAAAAAAGTTTTTAAAAAAATATACTAGAAACAACAACAAACTAAAAGCAAGCATTAAACAAATTCCATGAAATATCACAAAATACCACAGAAAAATACCAAGCGAGCGAAAATTCGTGTAAACATTTTTTAAAAACAAGCATAAAAAGAAAACAAGTTTTGGTGATCTACGATATTGATTATTGAATAAAAAAAATAATTATATATACATATATGTATATACATATATATATACGTATAGATATATATATATAAACTAAATAAGTTTACAAGGTATATGCATTAAATAAAATAAAACAAAGAAAAACAACTGCAGCAACTAATTATAAAAAAAAAAAAAAAAAAAAAAAAAAAAAAAAAAAAAAAAAAAAACATAAATAAAAAGCGATATGAGTAACGACAAAATAAAAATAAATAAATTTATTATATACATACATAGAGAAATATTAAAAAATAAAAAATTTAAAACAAAAAACCAATATGAAAATGAGATTGAATATGGTATGAAATGAAATGATTATTTGAAACATGTTCATTATATATAAATGTCATTACAAATGTTCTTCAAAACTGCCTACCAATAAAATATATTTCAAATAATATGCAATTTTGAGTTTTATTTGCTTTTCGATAGTTCAAAATTCGTTTAAATTTAGCGCTTTTGGGCAGCAGGCGCAACCAACTTTACTTGAATCAACTGTTTACTCACATTTGCGTTAACAGCTGCGCACTGTTAATTTTATGTTAACATATGCTGCTCTTTTTTGCGTTAGTCAAGTTAAACTGCTTGCACTGCAGGTATGCAGCTTACACTGCTTCCAGTGGCAAGCAGTTATTCTTTTGTGGAATTCCAATTAGCGTCATAACTGATTGTCTACTTGAATAGAAATATGAATAAATTTCATATATTTAATAATATAAGAAAAATTTAAAGCATCAAATTTCTTATATTACATTCTATACCATGTATATTTGTTATATTAAGAGGCTACCTTCCCTCCCCTGGCATCTTATACTTAGCATCCAATTAGCTTTTCTTTTATGCTCCCTTCAAATTGGAAAGCAACAGCAGCAGCAGCCAACGCAATTGGAATCGCAGTGCCAGCTGCCCTATAAAATATTAAAAGTCAGCCATACACACACACGCATGCACATACACAGATACATATACACATGATGTAATCATAAATATACTAATACATACATACATACATATATATAAGAGCTGGGTCAAATCTGGTATATATAGTCTTATATACAATTGCTTGCACATGTATTCGTATATACAGTTAGTTATTACTGTCCAATTGGATTACAGCTTGAGCTCTGCAAAGAGAGCTTTGAGCGCAAGCTTTGCCACCCCCTATTTGGAATGTACGCTCCCTCTTCGCTGCGCGCATGTGCTGCGCAGTCGACGTCGACGCCGCCACTGCGGCTGCTGCCGCTGCTGCTGCCTCTTTATCGATTGACCCAATTCTTGGATACATATTTCTACATAGTTGAATTTTCTTATCGCTTCGGTTCCTATTTAGCTGCTGAAAATTCGTTCCGCTTTTTCCCCCTCCTTTATTTTTTGTCACATTCCAATGGTTTCGTCCTTTCAACGTCCTTTCCACAGCTCGAAAGCTTTTTGCAAAAGCCTTGGGATATACATATACTTGTATATATGTATGTATGTATTTTATTCACATTGGAGGTGTGGCTCTCCTTGTTTTTTTTTGGGCTTGGTTATGCCTGCATGCTCTTATTAGAACGTCCCCACTTGCTATTAATATGCTCATTATGTCATCAACAAATATCTGCGAAATGGGACATTAATGTAACTAACGACCTAATAAGAATACGCAAACAAACAGTTATCCAATTGGCAGCCAAACGTAATGCTTATAAGAAACGGTCAACAAATGTTGACTTAGTTAATAGATAACTGAATAATAAATTTAGATGTGTTTTAGATTTAGAAGGTACAACAATCCAATTAGATTATCGTCAAGTGTATTGGAGTATTTCCGGATTGACAACTACTATACGTTCTAATAAGAATACATGCAGCATAACAGAGGCGCAAAGCTGTGAAGCTATTTAGACTTAGGTTGAGCTGCCTGAAATTTCCCGAAGGGCACATTTAAATCTAGGTAGGCTCACATTTATTCCTGTAAAACCTTTCCCCTAAGGTTATATTTAAGTACAAAAGCCTAAAAGTTCTTAGCGGCAAAATAGAAAAAGAGCCTTAAGCTAGTTCGACTTTAACGTAATCTAGTAGAACATATCCCTAAAAGAGGGGAATTCAATACAAATGGAGAATTAAATACTTGAAAAGCCTCAA